GTGGTGGAGGGAGCGGAGCTGGTCGGGGTGGTACCCAGCAGCGTAGTGGCGGTGGTGGTGGCCAGCGCTCGCAGCGGCAGCAGCAGCAGCGCTCGCGGGACATCCCTCCGCCCCAGCAGCTTCGTGAGTGGTACGCTGGGCGTCAGAGGGGTGGGCGTACTGGTCCCTGCACCTACGTTCTTCGTTCCGGCGACCGCGCGGGTGAGCAGTGTGGGGGTGCCCACGCCACCCTGCGCTGCTTTGGCCGCGTGACGGACGCTTGGCGTCAGCAGTTCCCCGGGGCTAGTGAGATCCCTCGTTGGGATGAGCTCCTTAGGGCGGGTGTAGCGATCTTTGATCTTGATTATGATGCTGTCCTTGCTGCTATGTATGCTGTGACTTATAGTGAGGAGAATGAGGGTTACCGGTGTTTCCAGCCCGACCCGGGCATTGGTACTGCTGCGCTAGGTGCTTGTGAGGCTGCTGCTCTAGGTGCCAGTGCGTCTGCGCTCTCAGGTACTGGTGAGACTGCGCTTTCAGGTACTGAGTCGCCCTCGTCCTCCCTCACTTTCACACTTGACTCCGGAGCTTCTCGCTCCTTCTTTCGAGACCGCACTACCCTTACGCCTCTTGGCCGACCTGTTGCGGTCTCTCTTGCTGACCCTTCTGGGGGTCCTGTCCTGTCTCACTTCTCCACTGTCCTCCCGTGTCCGGCTGCCCCTTCGGGTGCCCTGTCTGGTCTGTACCTTCCCTCGTTCTCTACGAACTTGGTGAGTGGAGCTGCCCTACAGGATGCGGGGGTTCACCAGTTCACTCCTGCGATTCAGCGGGTGACCCACTCCACGGACGCACGCACAGGCCGACACCTGGCCACCTTCTCGCGTCGGCCGGGGTCGAGTCTCTACACCCTGACCACTTCGTCTCCTCCTGTCCCTGCGTCCGGTCAGGTAGCTGCGTCAGGTCAGGTGCTTGCTGCTGCGTCCCGGTCAGGTCCTGAGTCTGCCCCCTGTTCTTGTCGCCTCCTGTCTCACGAGACGCTCCTGTGGCACCACCGTCTTGGCCACCCCTCCTTGCCCCGTCTTCGGAGCATGGCCTCTCCTGTCCTTGTCTCTGGTCTTCCCCGGTCTCTACCTCCCCCCCCCTCCGGGCCAGGACCTTCCTGTGTCCCCTGTGTCGAGGGTCGCCTCCGGGCTACTCCTCACTCCTCCCACTTCCCCCCGACAGAGGCTCCCCTGCAGACGCTTCACATGGATGTGTGGGGCCCGGCCCCTGTCCGTGGACAGGGTTACGAGCGCTACTTCCTGTTGGTGGTTGACGACTACTCACTTTCACTCTTGTTGCTGAGTCTGCGTCTGTCTGTCCTCCGTCCGTCGGGGGTGAGTGTGCTCTTGGCACGGACGTCCTAGAGGACAGGCAGGAGGAGTTACAGTGTCTAGCGGCTGCTTCACCTCATCTCGCGTCTGTACTGCTTGCCCCTGAGGGAGACCCGGATGCACTAGACATCCCGACTCCGCGTTCTTACGCGGAGGCCGTAGAGGGTCCCTACTCCTCTCAGTGGCAGGCAGCTATGGATGCAGAGATGGCTTCCTGGAAGTCCACAGGCACCTACGTTGACGCGGTTCCCCCTCATGGGGCGAACATCGTCAGTGGCATGTGGATCTTCAGGGTGAAGCGGCCGCCGGGCTCTCCACCTGTCTTCAAGGCGCGGTACGTTGCTCGTGGCTTCAGTCAGCGGCAGGGAGTTGACTACTTTCAGACCTTCTCTCCCACCCCGAAGATGACCACTCTTCGGGTGCTACTGCACATAGCCGCTCAGCGCGACTACGAGCTTCACTCTCTCGACTTTAGCACTGCGTACCTGCAGGGTAGCCTGCACGAGGAGATCTGGCTGCGCCGTCCGCCTGGCTTCACTGGGACTTTCCCTCCTGGCACCCAGTGGAGCCTCCGACGGCCAGTCTACGGTCTCCGCCAGGCACCGCGTGAGTGGCACGACACACTGAGGACTACGCTTGCGGCTCTTGGGTTTGCTCCTTCTACTGCTGACCCGTCGCTGTTTCTGCGCACCGACACTTCACTGCCGCCGTTCTACATCCTCGTGTACGTCGACGACTTGGTCTTTGCCACAGCGGACACTGCTGGACTCGCCTACGTGAAGTCCGAGCTGCTGAAGAGACACACGTGCACAGACCTGGGTGAACTGCGCAGCTACCTTGGCTTGCAGATCACTCGGGACAGAGCACGCCGCACCATTACCTTGACTCAGTCACACATGGTGCAGCAGGTCCTTCAGCGCTTCGGCTTCACGTACTCCTCGCCTCAGGCCACTCCTCTGCCTACTCGCCACTCACTCTCAGCTCTGCCTTCGGATGAGTCCGTAGAGTCGAGTGGTCCGTATGCAGAGCTTGTTGGCTGCCTCATGTACCTGATGACCTGCACACGACCTGACCTTGCATACCCTCTGAGCATTCTTGCACGCTATGTTGCTCCTGGTAGACACCGACCAGAGCACATGGCTGCAGCGAAGAGGGTATTGCGCTACCTGTGCAGTACGTCGGGCATGGGGCTAGTGCTTGGAGGGCGGAGTCCAGTGGTCCTTACAGGCCACGCGGACGCTTCTTGGGCTGACGACCAGGCTACGCAGCGGTCGTCACAGGGTTACACCTTCAGCCTTGGTTCTGGCTCTGTCTTGTGGCGGTCTACTCGCTCGTCTTCGGTTCTCGGCTCCAGTTGTGAGGCTGAGATCTACGCCGGGGCCATGGCTGCACAGGAGCTTCGCTGGCTCACCTACCTGCTGACTGACCTTGGAGAGCCGCCTCGTTCTCCTCCAGTGCTGTACGTAGACAACAAGGCCATGCTGGCCTTGTGTCAAGAGCAGCGCTTGAAGCACAGAACGAAGCACATTGCTCTCCGCTACTTCCTTGCTCGTGAGCTGCAGCAGCGTGGTCAGTTGCGACTTGCGTACGTGGCCTCTGAGGCCAACACTGCTGATGTGTTCACCAAGGCACTTGCGCCTTGTGACCATCAGCGCTTTTGTACCCAGCTGGGTCTTGTGCCTGTCTTGCCTCACTTGCTCTCTTCTTGACTTTACTTGTACTGTGACATATATATACCTGCTCTTGCTTGTCTTGCTTTATATATATGTCTGTACTCCTGCATGTGAACTGGCCTCTGGCCCTGCTCTTGTGCTCGGACTGTGTGGTGACTTCGTGATCCACCCTGAGCTTGCTTTGCTTTGCTTGACTGGTCTTGTGACCCCTTGTTCTCCCCCACTTTGCCTATGGGGGTGTGTCAGATTACTATAGCTGATGCATGTTTGTAGGCTATAGTGGGGTAGCACATATGGGGTACAGTCTTTCTAGGGTTGTATTTGTACCCAACTCTGACTTACTCAATTCATTCCTGTTTTCTATTTTCACAGTGAGAGCATTACGGGTGACCGCGCATAGGTCGACATTGTGCCGCACATCCGTGGGGAACCAAGGCGGAGAATAGGGAAGCCATTTACCGGCCGATACAGCACCATCACCCGCTATGATGTCTACCTACGACGCATCAAGCTCTTGCTGCCCAAGGAGCTCGCCTTCAATGCTGACCAGTTCGAAGAGGTAAAGAAATGGGGGCGCAGGAGGCGCAGGAGGAGCGGGAGGTACGGGAGGAGCTGGCGGTGGCGACAAACGGCGGGGCGGGTGGTTGGGCCAAAGTTCGCCATGGATGCAAGGTTGCAGATTGCACTCATAGCCCGCATCTTCATCCGCATCTACACCGCCTACATGACAACACATGTGCGGAAGTATAGCCTAAACTAGGGTGTCGAATCAAGAACGACATGGTCGAGAGAGGCGGGGTTGCTTTGAACGAAAAAAAAAAGTGAAAATGAGCCTCATCAATTTCGACAACCCCCCTCTAGAGCTAGGGACGTGGTCCGGGTTCACACGCTCCCGTGGCACGTGCACGACAACAGTGCACGAAAGAACGTTCTCGAACCCATTACCTTTCCGATTCATTGAATTTGATGGTGGGATGGATGAATGGTCAACATCACAGTCAAAAGGTTTTGCCCGAAACCAGCACCGCCTAGTGTTGCCACCATGATGCGCTCATGTGTGACGCGTGGCATATTTTTTATGCGTGTAAAATTGTGATGAGACTCCTCATTTTGAACCAAACCCGAATTCCGAAAAGAAAAAATAAATTTCTTCAGCACAATTCTTTTAACCCCCCCCTCCCCTCCCACCCCCCCCCCCCCCCCCCCCCCCCTTTTTTTTGTGATCTATACATGTCTAGGGGTCAACAACCACCACAACCCATTTTTAGCAGATTTGGGAGAAAACCCCCAGGAGACCCCCGGTCTTTCAACCGGGAGAATAAGGGCGTATTCTTGGCTTTGTGTCATCCCGAATTTATTTTTACGAATCGAACTTCAAGTTTTCCGACTCGGGATGTGGCGAGCTTCGGCGAACATGTCAAGTTATAATATTGTGTAGGCTATAGTGGGGTAGCCTATATGGGGTACACATTTCTAGGGTTGCACATTTGTATCACTTCCATTCATAGTTCATTCATTCTCGTTCTCATTTTCTCATGGTATCGAGCAGGTTCCCCCGTGGGAACTTTGCCTAGGGCCCACCACCTCGATTTTATTTTTTTCCTACCCGAAGCGCGCTCCTCCCGAGTCGCGCCCCGGGCTCTTACCTCGTCGAGCCGCCCTAGCGGCCCCCCTACGCCCTAGCAGCCCTCCCTACCCTAGCGGCCCCGCTGCCCGTTCGTGCGGCCCCGACACCCGTCAGTGCGGCCCCGCAGCCCGTTAGCGCGGCCCCGCCGCCCTACTTAGCGGCCCCACCGCCCTGCTCCTGCGGCCCCGCCGCCCTACTTCGCGGCCCTGCCGCCCTACTTAGCGGCCCCGCCGCCCTGCTCCTGCGGCTCCGCCGCCCTACTTCGCGGCCCCGCCGCCCTACTCCTGCAGCCCCGCCACCCTACTTCGCGGCCCCGCCGCCCTACTCAGCGGCCCCACCGCCCTACTCATGCGGCCCCACCGCCCTACTCCTGCGGCCCCGTCGCCCTACTTCGCTGCCCCGCCACCCTACTCATGCGGCCCCGCCGCTCTCCTCCTGCGGCCCCGCCGCCCTACTTCGCGGCCCCTCCGCCCTACTCCTGCGGCCCCACCGCCCTGCTCCTGCGGCCCCGTCGCCCTGCTTCGCGGCCCCGCCGCCCTACTCCCGCGGCCCTGTCGCCCTACCCAGCGGCCCCGCCGCCCTACTCCCGCGGCCATGCCGCCCTACCCAGTGGCCCCGCCGCCCGTCTACTGCGGCCCCACCGCCCTACTTCGCGGCCCCGCCGCTCTCAGCTCCTGCAGCGCCGCCCAAGCCGCCGACCGCCGTGCCGCCCTGCAGCAGCACGCTCGAGCCGCTAACCGCCGCGCCGCCCTCCAGCAGCACAACCGAGCCACCCAGCAGCAGAGGAGCCGAGCCGCCCTGCCGCCGAGCCGCACTGCAGGCGAGCCGCCCGGCCGCCCACCAGCCGAGCCGCCGAGCCGCCCTACAGCCGAGCCGCCCGAGCAGCCCTGTCCGGTGAGCACAGCCCCTCTGTCACTGCGTGCCCTTCCCCTACTGCTTGCACTGCTAGTCTACTGCTGTCATGGCTACCCCTAGTGTCCTCGCTTTTGACGCTGAGGGTCGAGCCATTGACTTTGAGGTCTGGGTCGACGACCTGCAGCTGTTCTTAAAGTGCGATAGGGCGGACGGTCTTTCTCTCTTTGACCTCACCTCTAGCGCCTCTCCTGCCCCTGCTGCTGATGCTGACCCCACTGTTTGCTCCCAGTGGGCCACCCGCGATGCTGCTGCAACGTCCAGGTCTGGTCGTGAGTCTGCCCCCTGCTCGTGTCACCTCCTGTCTCACGAGACTCTCCTGTGGCACCACCATCTTGGTCACCCCTCCCTGCCTCCTCTTCGAGGCATGGCTTCCCGTGTCCTTGTCTCTGGTCTTCCCTGGTCCCTCCCTCCCCTTCCTTCGGGGCGTGGTCCTTCCTGTGTCCCTTGTGTTGAGGGACGGCTCCGGGCTGCCCCTCACTCCTCTGAGTTTCCCTCGACAGAGGCCCCGCTGCAGACGCTTCACATGGACGTGTGGGGCCCGGCCCGCGTCCGTGGACAGGGTCACGAGCGCTACTTCCTGCTGGTGGTTGACGACTACTCGCGTTACACCACGATCTTCCCCTTGCGCAGCAAGGGTGCTGTCACTGAGGTGTTGATCGACTGGATCCGCGCAGCTCGTCTCCAGCCAAGGAGGAGCTTCGGCTCGGACTTTCCTGTTCTGCGTCTGCACTCTGGCCGAGGCGGAGAGTTCTCCTCTGGCCTTCTGCGAGCCTACTGTCGTGCGCGAGGCATCCGCCAGACCTTTTCGCTTCCGGACTCTCTACAGCAAAATGGGATTGCTGAGCGCCGCATTGGCATTGTCATGGACGTCGCCCGTACGTCCATGATGCATGCGGCTGCCCCCCATTTTCTGTGGCCGTTTGCGGTTCGGTACGCGGCGCATCAGATCAACCTTCACCCCAGCGTCTCCGGCCGGAGACCTCCCCAGCCTTGCTGTGGACGGGGAAGGTCGGCGATGCGTGTGCGTTCCGTGTCTGGGGATCTCGGGCGTTTGTCCGCGACTTGTCTGCGGACAAGCTGTCCCCTCGTGCTGCTCCCTGCGTCTTCCTTGGCTTCCCCTCTGACGCACCAGGGTGGCAGTTCTACCACCCCACCTCTCGTCGTGTTATGTCCTCCCAGGACGTCACGTTCAACGAGTCAGTCCCCTACTACCGCCTCTTCCCCTACCGCACTCCGTCCCTCCCCCCACCTCCGCACTTCCTTGTACCAGGTCCCCCCCCGGTAGACCCCCTTCCTCCTCAGGGTCTTGCCCCTTCAGGTGTGTCCCAGGTAGACGCACTCGCGCCGGTCGAGGTTGCTGGTGACTCTGGTATTGCTGCGGATGCTGAGCCTGGGGGTGCTAACTCGGGGGGTGCTGCGCGCGAGAGTGCTGAGCTTGGGGGTGCTGAGTCTGGGGATGCTGCGGCTGGGGGTGCTGAGCCTAGGGGTACTGAGCCTGGGGGTGCTGAGCCTGAGGGTCCTTCGCCTGGGGGTGCTGCGTATGGAGCTTCTGAGCCTGGGGGTGCTGAGTTTGGAGCTGCTGCGCCTGGGGGTGCAGAGCCAGCGGCCGCTGGACCTGCTCGTGTGCCGTCTGGAGGTGCTGGGCCTGGTGGTTCTTCGGGTGCTTCGTCTCGGCGGGAGCCACTCTCTCCCCAGGAGCTGCGAGAGTGGTTTGCCCGTCGCTGGAGGCGTACTGCTGGAGCAGGTGCTTCTTTGGCTGCTGAGGGTGCTGGTGCCGTCGGTCTCGGAGGTGCTCACCCTGGGAGTGCTGGAGCTGCTGGGCCTGCGAGTGCGACTGGAGTCGGAGCTGCTGAGGGTGTAGGCGCTGAGCCTACTGCTGTCAGTCCTGGCGGCGGTCCTGCTGCTGGTGCTGCTGGTGCTGCTGGAGATACTGAAGCTAGAGATGCTATTGGCGCTGGTGCTGCCGTTGGGGGTACTGGTGCTGTCCCTGCTGTGTCTGGAGTCGCCGCGCGGCCTCGGTCGTACTTTGTTCCGCTCCTTCAGCAGGTTCTTGGTCTTCCTCCTCCCTTAGAGTGTCCACCGCCTGTCCAGTCACAGTCACAGTTACCGCCGGCCTCCTCACTGCCTACTCCTTCTCCGTACACTGGTCCTACTGGAGGTCTTGCTGAGCGTCGTGAGCTTGCGTCTCGTCCTGCGTCGCCTGTTCGTGCTGCTCGCACTAGTGGTCGCGGTTCGCGTTAGCGTCCTCCTCCTGTCCCTAGCACGCACCGGATGTCTCAACATCTGTCCACTGCTCCCCTGCGTGCCCCTTTGCCTTCTCCTCCTGAGTCCTCTCTTCCTGCGCTTGCCGACCCTGAGTCGGACTCTCTTCGTGCTGCCAGTCCTACTGACACGCGTCTTCTTGCTATTGTCGTCACTGACCCCTTGTTTGAGTCCACTGCTGCGTCTGCTGTGGTTGCTGAGCTCATTGACTTTGCTACTCGCTGTCGCCTAGACTACGCTGCTCGTCTTGTTGCTCAGTCTGCGTCAGTCTGTCATCCGTCCGTCGGGGGTGAGTGTGCTCTTTGCACGGACGTCCTTGAGGACAGGAAAGGAGGGGTTCCAGTGTCTTGCTGCTGCTTCTCCTCATCTCGGGTCTAAACTGCTTACCCTTGAGGGAGACCCGGATGCACTAGACATCCCGACTCCGCGCTCTTACACGGAGGCCGTAGAGGGTCCCTACTCCTCTCAGTCGCAGGCAGCTATGGATGCAGAGACGACTTCCTGGAAGTCCACAGGCACCTACGTTGATGCGGTTCCCCCTCCTGGGGCGAACATCGTCAGTGGCATGTGGATCTTCAGGGTGAAGCGGCCGCCGGGATCTCCACCTGTCTTCAAGGCGCGGTACGTGGCTCGTGGCTTCAGTCAGCGGCAGGGAGTTGACTACTTTCAGACCTTCTCTCCCACCTCGGAGATGACCACTCTTCAGGTGCTGCTACATATAGCCGCCCAGCGTGACTACGAGCTTCACTCCCTTGACTTCAGCACTGCTTTCCTGCAGCGTAGCTTGCACGAGGAGATCTGGCTGCGCCGTCCACCTGGCTTCACTGGGACTTTCCCTCCTGGCACCCAGTGGAGCCTCCGACGGCCAGTTTACGGTCTCTTCCAGGCACCGCGCGAAAGGCATGACACACTAAGGACTACGCTTGCGGCTCTTGGGTTTGCTCCCGCTACTGCTGACCCGTCGTTGTTTCAGCGCACCGACACCTCTTTGCCGCCGTTCTACATCCTCGTGTACGTCGATGACTTGGTCTTTGCCACAGCTGACACTGCTGGACTCCTCCACGTGAAGTTCAAGCTGCAGAAGAGACACACGTGCACAGACCTGGGTGAACTGCGCAGCTACCTTGGCTTGCAGATCACCCGGGACAGAGCACGCCGCACCATTACCTTGACTCAGTCACACATGGTGCAGTAGGTCCTTCAACGCTTTGGCTTCACGTACTCCTCGCCTCAGGCCACTCATCTGTCTACTCGCCACTCGCTCTCAGCTCTGCCTTCGGATGAGTCCGTAGAGTCGAGTGGCCCGTACTCAGAGCTAGTTGGCTGCCTCATGTACCTGATGACCTGCACACGACCTGACCTGGCATACCCTCTTAGCATTCTTGCACGCTATGTTGCTCCTGGGAGACACAGACCAGAGTACATGGCTGCAGTGAAGAGGGTGTTGCGCTACTTGTGCAGTACGTCGGGCACGGGGCTAGTGCTTGGAGGGCGGAGTCCAGTGGTCCTCACTGGCCACGCGGACGCTTCTTGGGCTGACGACCAGGCTACGCAGCGGTCGTCACAGGGTTACACCTTCGGTCTTGGTTCCGGCTCTGTTTCGTGGCGGGCTACTCGCTTGTCTTCTGTTCTTGGCTCCAGTTGTGAGGCTGAGATCTACGCCGGGGCCATGGCTCCACAGGAGCTTCGCTGGCTCACCTACCTGCTGACTGACCTCGGAGAGCCACCTCATTCTCCTCCAGTGCTGTACGTAGACAACAAGGCCATGCTGGCCTTGTGTTGGGAGCAACGCCTGGAGCACAGAACGAAGCACATTGCTCTCCGCTACTTCCTTGCTCGTGAGCTGCAGCAGCGTGGTCAGCTGCGACTTGCTTACGTGGCCTCTGAGGCCAACATTGCTGATGTTTTCACCAAGGCACTTCCGCCTTGTGATCATCAGTGCTTCTGCACTTAGCTGGGCCTTGTGCCTGTCTTGCCTCACTTGCTCACCTCTTGACCTTGCTTGTACTCTTACATGTATATATACTTGCTCTTGCTTGTTTAGTCTTACATATATATATATATATATATGTGTGTGTGTGTACTCCTGCATGTGAACTGGCCTTGTGGCCTTGACCTTGTGCTCGGACTGTGTGGTGACGTTGTGATCCACCGTGAGCTTTGCTTTGCTTTGCATGACTGGTCTTGTGACCCCTTGTTCTCCCCCACTTTGCCTATGGGGGTGTGTCAAGTTATTATATTGTGTAGGCTATAGTGGGGTAGCCTATATGGGGTACACATTTCTAGGGTTGCACATTTGTATCACTTCCATTCATAGTTCATTCATTCTTGTTCTCATTTTCTCAGAACAGTGTGTTCGAAAATTAGTTTATTAAGAAAAAATATTACTCGAGCTGCTGTGCGATTTTTCTGGTAGCGTGACGAAATTCATTCAATGTGAAGAGCAACATTAAACATTGGAGTAACAAATTTGGTCGCACTATAGTCGCTGTATCTCGCCAGCTTGCTCTGGCGATTGCAACTCAAGTTGACGAGAGTCACGTATCAAGGGTATCCATCAAATTTTCTTCCTAAACATTTCGCCAGCATATTTGACATGTTGACATGAGTTGCTCTATTACAGCTCGTGTGTTCCCACAATTTCGGATGACACGAATAGTGGATGACATGAAGCCAGAAACACTCCCTAAGGTGTACTGACTTAGTTTGATTAAGGACGTGTTACGGTTCGCCTCTGATTGCCTCGATCAGAGGCGATCAACAAATTCCAGGAAGCAAGGGAGGCGATTTCAGGCAATTGGGAGCAATTAGTTGATCGCGATCAGCTGATCGCCCGAACTCGATCAACCACCTAAAACAGCCCAATCAAACACAACGCCACACAATCACCGACGATCAGTTGATTGCTTTGGTTTGGGGTACCAAGCGACATCAACGAAAAGGTGCACTATTTCGCTGGATTTCTTGAGACCTCGCTCAAACAATAACCGTGGCAAGATAGTGCTCCTGCACAAATGTTTACGCGATCTAAGGGCTCAATACATGTGTAGCAGTCACTGTTGGTGGCATGCGGGAAAACCGCATGCCATCAACATTGTGCCCGAACCGCGGGCGGCTTGCAGTTCGTGGCAAGCACAACAAATTGTGCGACAGTCTCACACAAAAAGCATCGGCCAATCACTGCCAGCGTGCGATACCAATCCACATGTCAAACCGGTTACAACTATGTGCGGTCATTGACAGCAGCACGGGCAACTGGTAAACTTGCCGCTCATGCAAGGCCTGTAAAGTGGCAAGCGTGAAGTGGTTGGATTAAATGGCAAATTGGCAAACTGTAAAAACACCCCGTGCATGGTCAAGGAGATACAAGACAACGGCCGCGTCACTCAGCGCACCGCGCTGCCAACACCCCGTTGCTAAAAGAAGGGGTCCAAAGCATGTCACAGCATGGTCCAGAGGCGCATCTTCGTCATCTTCGAAGTTTGTCTCACATGTCCCCTCTGGATGGTCTCTTGCTCTGTAGTGTGGTGCACCTATTATATGGGTTCTATCTAGAGAGCTTCAACTGTATAGTCACCATTGGTGCACTGTAGTAGATCGATGCAAGGGGCTATGCATGTTCGGGACGATGAGGCTTCCGCTGAAGAGCGCCGGAGGATCGAACGCCGCCAACGTCTGTGGAAGGAGCGCCGTGAACGACACATGGCGGAATGGGTGACTGAGCTGCGCATTATGGAGGCCGATGACTTTGTCAACGTCTTTCGCATCTCGCCTGAACTGCTGGAGTACATTGCACCTATTATGGCCCTCCCCATGAGCCACTTTGTTGAGAAGCTCGGGATCTCGCTCGACCTTTGCGTCCTCATCCCTATTAAGTACTTTGCCAGCGCCATGACCTTCATCGACCTGGGCCTCTACTTTGGCGTGCCCAAGACCATATAGTCAAGGCCTTTCTCATGCACTTCTCCCGAAGGTTCAAGAAGACCTGGGTCCGCTTTCCTACTTCAGAGGAGATGGAGGAGATGGCATCCGACTTCAAGGAAGTACGGGGGGTGCCGAATGTTATTGGAG